CCTTGAGAGTGGTGTATTCAAGTCTCCTGCTATTGTCTGTGTCTATATAACTTTCAACTCCGAGGATTTGATTGACATTACTTTGAAGGTCTTTCACTGGGCGCATGTTTATTACATTTACAGGTTCCTGAGCTATTGTTCCCTTACTATTGTGTAGTGTCGATCTTATCTCTCTCTTAAAAAAATACTTTTATTGGGGACTCTTACATCTCATCACAATCCATACATTCATCCAGTGTGTCAAGCACATTTGCACATATGCCACATCATCATTTTCAAAGCATTCTCTTCCCACTTGAGCCCCTGATATCAGCTCCCCATTTCTTCCCCCGCCCTTCTCCGCCCACCCTCCCTCACAAACCCTTGATAAGTTGTAGATTATTATTTCCATATTGATCTTATCTCTTATTTTGAGGTTAATATTGTTACCCTGCTCTCTGTTGGTGGCTGGTTGCTTGGTATGCTTTTGTCCAGCCTCTGATCTCTAATCTGTTCATGTCTTTGTTTGTGAGGTGTGTTTCTTGTAGGCAGCATGTTGATGGGTGAGGTAGTTTATTGTGCAAACCTGGCCGATAAACACATGTGGGGTTAATTGAAGGGCAGAGGGATAAATGGCTCGGTGAGCCTCGCCTTTCTAGTTCTCGGGTCTCTTGCTTTCTGATGGTCGCATCAGGGTGAAGCTGCCTTAGCAGTTCCCTGCTTCAGCTGGCAAGGCTGACTTCCTGCAAGACATCCCCAAGGAGAAGCCACATGAACCTACCCCAATGCAGCCCTGGATGCTGGAGCAGCCGTGTGGAGACCCCAGCCAGCACTGATATGTTTACACATTCACTGACTCAGCTTTCCTCCTGCAGTCAGCATCATTGCATCTGTTTTGTGAGATGGAGGAGGACTCTGTGGATTGGTCTTGGACATATAGGTTAATGTTGGACTTGTGGGTTTGGGCAGCACTGGATTGGGATGTTTTCTTGATGTGCACTTAACCTTTACGTAAAACTCTCCCTTATACATGAGTTTCTGTGGATTTATTTCTCTAAAGTACCCAGACTAATAGGTTTTGTTTTGTTATCCATCCTGCTACTCTCTGCCTCTTTACTGGTGCACTCAGTCCATTAACATTCAGTGAAATTATTGATATGTATTTGTTACTATCATTTTGCTTTTTGTGTGGTTTGTATGTGTATTGTGTTGTTTGTTTTTCCTGTGTCATTTCCTTGCATTGGGTGTTGTTCTGTGTGTGTTGGTTTTTGTGAGGAATTGTATGTTGGATTCAGGTTTTTGTGTTGCCACTGTTGGTTTTCGGCCACAGTACTTCATTGAGTGTTTTTGTAGTGCTGGTCTTGTTTTTGTGGATTCTTTTAGTTTCTCCTTTTCTTGGAATACCTTTACTTCACCCTCCTATTTGATTGATCAATTCTTGACCATATGCTACCTCCTGACATGGTTCAACATCAACCAGTGTTTTTTTTTATTGTGACTGTATTTCTTCTATTTTCTTTTGATGTTCCCTCCCTGTGTTGGGCCGAGTTGTCTAGAAGAAAAAATTCAGTGACACTTGTACATGCACGAGAGCTTCATATCGAGGTGGTTATGTATCAAGACAGCATCTGAGCCCAGTCGGACTCAAGTTCATACGTCCAATGCTAGCCTGTAAGTCCTTCAGACTCATGGCTGCAAGGCTAGTAACACCGAATGGTGAACTGGGGGGCAGGATGATCACAGGCTCGTGGGCGCAGAACGTGGGCCCAACGTCAGTGGAAACATGCCGTGGTGCCAGCAGCTCTCAGGGACAGCCCACGGGGCCACCCATGGAGGCAGAGAGGGGCACACAGTTTCCCAGTCTCCCAGCTGATGAGAAGGCCACCCCCACAGGAAGCTATCATTAGGCCGTGCCCTGATTGACAGGTTGGAGTCCTCCTTTACTTTTATACATCTTCCAGGTTGACCTTGTGTCAACTACCACACTGCCTAATGGCTGCGTCAATGGGCTCAGGCAGCGTCGGGACCACTGTGATGGCGTAGGACCGGGCGGTGTTTGGTTCTATTGAGCACCGGTAGCTGTGGGCCGGCGCCAACCCAATGGCCCCTAGCACCACCACATTGCCTCATTGCATCTTCTTGCACACAGACTCCAGCCCTATTTCAGCTTGAAGCTTGGATTATTTTTCTTCAGTTTTTTTTTTTAGCTTGAGAAATGCCAAGCACATTTTGCTTTTCTAACTCCAGTTCTTGCACATTTCTCCAGCTGCCATTTGACATCAGTTCTCTGACTGCAGCATTGCCTCCTTTCTCTTTAGATGTTCTACACTCAAAAGCAAGTTTCAGAGTCTCTTCTGACATACAGGTTTGTCTTTTTAATGGAGTAATTTTCAGTACTTTTATCTGTTGATAGAGCACGACTCAAAATGAGAATTAACAGCTGCAAATATCATTAGTAATGGCAATGTGGCATGCACAAACTATGAATTATGCAAAATTGAAAGCTGTCAAAAGTGAGTGGAATGCATATATCCTAAGCATTAATTAGCAGATATGAACTGGTATTGGCCACTTGACCAGACAATTATATGGTCTACTATGCCGAGAATAAATTAAAGAGAAGGTGTCACACATCATCATCATCATCGTCATCATCATCGTAAAGAACATTCTGAGGTCTATCATGAACTGTAACACTGCCAGTAACAAGAATATCCTTAAGCCTGCAAGAAAGACCAGTTATTAAGACTTAAATTAGCACACCGAATGAAGAAATTTAAGTTTTTACCAGTCTGAATGAATCAAACATGAAATCAAGATACACCGATAGTTCTTGGTGAATGGAACATGAACATCGGAAACGAAGGATGCGTAGTTGACAAATACAGCCTTGGGGATGGAAACATTGCCGGAAATCACCTGGCAGAATTTTGCAAGCCCAACAACTTACTCACCAGGGATACCTTTTTCCAACCACATGAACAGTGACGACATGTGGACCGACCTCGAGGGATGGAGTACACAGGAGTTAGACCTATTACGTCAGTGGTCAGAGACAGGGAGCTCAGCGCCACCAGTCATAGCCATCCTAGGAGCCGACTGTGGAGCAGACCGCAACTGCTCATATACAAGTGCCAGCTAACCGTAAAGGAAATTAAACCAAGCTCATGAGTCAAAATATGACTCTGAGTATATCCCGCCTGAATTTAGAGACCATCTCCACAGCAGATTTGGTGAATTAAATGCTAATGACCCAAACCCAGGTGAGCTGTGGGGCAGCATAAAAGGTTCTCAGACAGCTTCTCAGCCCGAAGCTCCCCTCACCACCCCTTTGCACCCCCACCTCAACCTTCTCTCTGCTGCCACCCTGAGCTCCCACACCCCACTAGCTCCTCACCAGGTCTCATGTGGCCTTGTGACCCCACACCTGTAGTCAGCCCTGGCCCACGTGGCCCTCCTGGCAGGGTCAGGGCTGGAAGCAGTGCTGAGGACTCCTCGGTCATCCCCTCGTGCCCGCTCCACAGGCCCCGCCCCAACCTCACAGCCGCTACAGCAGCCCTGGTGCGGATTACACTTCTGCCGGGCTCGAGACCAAAAGAAAGTGCCACGCAGCGTGGATTTTTTTTTACAAGTATGTTTAATGAAAGTATCTGAAAATATTGTAATAAGGCTTTCAACAACATTTAATAAATTTTCAAGATATTAGCAATATGAAATATTAAGAATCCACTTCAAAAATCCAATGTGTTCTAGATCATTCCATTATCATGTTGCTTTGCGCCTTGGTTAACAATTGTTCCGTATGTCTGGGTGATCAGAACTCCATGCCCCACTGTCTCCTGGCTGGGAGGTCCTGGGATCCCCCCACCTCTGCTGGTCGGAGTAACGCCTCACGTGGGGGGGGGGGTGTCCCAGGGGTGTGTGGGCAGATGGAGGGGGTGGTGGTGTACACAGGCCACAAACACCCAGCGGCCCTGCCCTGGTGTCTCTGGACACGTTCTACCCACTGCACATGGAGCATGGCTGGCCTCTGCCTGAGGGGCAGGATGGTGGCCTGCCAGGCCTCCTAGCCCTTCCTGCTGGCTGACTCCTGAGCAACTCTGAACCCAACACCCTCCCGGAAGCCAGGGTGGCTGCACGGAATGCCTGGCGACCAAGCGGGGCCACCGGGCACTTGTGCGCACACTACCTCCCTCCTGTCCTTGCTCCCCACCTGACCAGGAGGCAGCCCCATACCCTCATGGCTGAGAGGGCACAGTGACTAACTACTGGAATGGTTTCTCTGTGCGGGGCAGTAGGCTCGGCTCTTCCTCACAGGGGATCTGCCCAACCTGTCCACCACGCCTGCAAAGTAGAAATCACAGGCCAGCGGAGCCAGCCTGCCTCCACCCAGTGCCACCATGCCTGCCATAGCCGTGTGCCTCCAGAGGAAATGGTCCCTGTGGGCCGCACGCACAGACAATGTAAACAGGGGACCTGGCTGTGCTTTCCAGCAGGACAAGGCCCTTCCCTTTTAAATTTTCACAAAAGTGTGTACAATAAAATATGTACATAAGCACTTCAGAAAGTTTAAAAGAATCTCTAAAAAAGTATATATGTACAGGGTTAAAATATCTCCCGGAGCAGAAGGCACGGGACTGTGCGTAGGAATGTGTGTGGGGCCCCGCCCGGCCTCCACTCGGGCCCCTGGCCGGAGCCAGGCTTGCCAGGCCCACAGTCACCAGCCTGAAGTGGGTGGAGGGCAGACAGGAACAACAGCTCTTGGAGACAGAGACAACCGTGAGGCTGGTGGACGTGGCCCTGAGCTGGGAGGAGGGAGCCTCCCAACCATGTCCAGAAACTGAAGTAAGATGCGCGGCCCCACCAGCCTCCCTGCCCTACCACAAAGGTCCAGCGGCAAGTGCCCAGGGGCTTTCTTGGGGCTGCCCGGTGTGGGGGCTGGAAAGGAGAAGCGGTGTGGCTGAAGGAAGACATTTGGCTGGGAGACATTCATTTCAACATCAAAGGGCAGTAGACTTGACCTGACTCTCTGACTTTTAATAAACTGATTTAGGGACACTTCCTGACCTGAAGCTTCCGGTGGCCCAGTATGGGGGAGGTGTGCCCTGGTTGGACCCCCGTTGTGTGTGTGTGGGGCACTACTGAGCGCCAACCATGTTTCTCCCTGCTTGTTTGAAGTGAAAAAAATCAAGTCAACTTTGTGGTCAGCACAGGTGGCTCGGCTGACAACAGGCAGGTTCGGAGCCTTCCTTTGGCCACAGGTAGGAAGAACAGGGGAAAGTGGTGACATTCCAAAACATCTCCCCCCACCCCCCAGACACACGGACGGCTGTGCCGGGGGCAGACAGGATGCAGGAGAGGAAGCCTCGGGCGCTGGGAGGGTGGTGTCCTCCCGGAGAGTCTTCTCGGCCTAGCCCTGGCCCTGGCCCTGGCCCTGTTCGTCTTCCTCCTCCTCCTCCTCCTCCTCGGTAAAGTGGGTCTGCTTCTTGCGCACGTTCCAGTGCAGGCACTGGGCCAGGCTCTCGAACCAGTCACTCACAGGGTCTCGGACGCAGATGGAGGGCAGCGGGTAGCAGGAGGTGGTGATGCTGATGCTGGAAAGGAGGTGGGCGCAGCCAGGTCAGCCCCACCCTCCGGAAGCTGACCCAGCAGCAGCTGCTCCATAGGTTTCTCCCCGGGGGGCCTGGGCCTGCCCTGCCTGCTGCCACCCGGGGAGGGGTTCTGTACAGCTCAGGGGGGATCTGCTCCCATCTGCAGACCCAGGAATTCTCAGCCAGCCCCCTGGCTGTGCACGGCACCCACTGCCTCAGTGAGGCCCACAGGAAACCACGTCCTTCAGCCTGTCCCCACGTGGGCCCAGGGCAGGTTCTTGGTACCCAACATGGGCCCTGTGGGTCTAGTTGGGGGGCAGAGGCGGAGCCTCCCCCTCCAGGGACAGCCCTAGGGCGGAGCCTCTAGAACTAGGCCGTGGGCTGAGTGGCTGCCCATCCCCTTCCCAGGTCCACGTACCTGTCTCCGTGGCGGATCTCCTGTCTTTTCCGGCCGTCAAAGGAAACCCATGCAGTGTTCCTGGCTTCTGGAGACAGTGTGATCTAGGGGCCAAGGCAGAGGAGGCATGGCAGCGAGGGTGCAGCAGACCTACTGGTGGCCACCATGGGGGGTGGAGGGAGACGGGACTACCCTTCTGTATGTGGGTGGGGCTCTGATCATGGGGTAGAGCCTCATTCTGAGATCCTCACCCCTCTTCACAGCTTCAAGTGCCCACTTCCCTCCTGGGGCCAGCTGGGCTTAGAGGCCCGCCCACTCTGGGGGAGTGGGCACCAGGAGTTCCACCTCAGGCAGTGCCCTGCTCGCAGTCCCGTGATGGAGGGGGCTGACAGGGGGAGGACCCGCAGGCCAGCCCTGGGTGGATGGCACCCAGGTGCCATGAGGGGTGTGGGGAGGGGCGCAGGGAGGCATGGGCTTGGCTCACCCCACAGCACATGGGGGGTTTGGGGGCCATGCTGACCTTGAGCTCCACTCCGGCGGGGACCACAATGGGCCGGAAGGACAGCGAGTGCGGGCAGATGGGGGTGATCATGATGGCTGGCACGTTGGGATGGATCATGGAGGCCCCAGCTGCAGCCGCGTACGCTGTGCTTCCGGTCGGGGTGGACACGATCACTCCTGCTGAGACATGGTGTCCTATGTGGCCACCCGCTGTGCTGCTGGCCCCACCCCCCTGGCCACCATCTCACTCACCATCGCCCTGCACTGTGGTGATGAGGTGTCCGTCCAGGTAGACGTCCACGTTGGAGAGGTAGGAGGAAGGGCCTCTGTCAATCACTACCTCGTTTAGGACCTGAGGGTGCAAGGCCATAGGCTGGCAGGAAGGACGGGGTTGGGGGGGTGGGGAGGGGCTCGGACACACGGCAGCCTCAGGGATTGGGGGGGAGGGCGCCGTGCAGGTTGCTTAAGCCCTGCAGAGGCTCCTCCATGGGGCACCCCCTCCCCGCACAACCTCAGGTGCCCACGGACCTGGTACTGCATGATCTGCTTCCCGAGTTCAGTGTCGGGGGCCAGGGAGCCGTTCTCTCCGACCCCGTTGGAAGCGGCCGGCTTCTGCCCCCTGAGCTCCTTCACCACGCGGACCTTGAGCCGACTCCGGAGGATGATGGCCGCGTTCCCTAGAGAGCCCCAGAGCACTGGGTTGGGTGGCCCCGGGCAGAGACCCCAGCCCCAGGGGCCTCCTGGCCCACCTCCTGGGAAAGGCAGTGCCTGGGGGCCGAATGGAACTCAGCCTCCAGGCAGCTACAGATAAGCTCTACGGACACATTCCAGCCCAGCCTGTAAAAAGCCCTTCGACTACTCAGAAATCTTGGAACCTGAATGTTGCTCTAGGTGTTCAAAATATAACAGACACCAGACAGCCCCCCTCCCGCCCCCACCTGGCCTGGAGCTGTGGGTGGGCTCCAGCACATGCCAACTCACCCTCTATCACCTGGGTGACCTGGGACTGGAAGTTCTCAAAGTTGAAGGGTGTCAGGAAGCCCAGGGAGCCGAGGTGGAAGGCCATGACGGGAGGCACACTGCCCTGTGGGTGGACAAGGTGGCACTCAGGCCTGCTGGGGGGGAAGGGCAGAGCTGCCTCACCACTAGGACTCGGGCAGGGCAGGGGACCTGTGCCCAAGGGCTGGGCTTCTCCGCAGACATGCCAGGAAGGCTGTCCCAGGCCTGGGAAGTGGGCTCAGGAGGTCCGATGGATCCCAAGAGGCTGGGATGACATGGAGTGCCTGTGGCTGTGGTCAGAACAGGGCGGCAGGCCCACGCGGGGCTGGAAGCAAGCTAGGAAATACACAACCAGCAGGATCAGCCACCTGGCTGGCAAGCAGGGTAGGAAGGGGACGGTGAGGTGACAGTGGCATCTGTCCAGCCATGGAGGTCAGCCTCGGGCTCTGGGACAGGTGGCAGTGAGGTGACTATACCTGCCTGGCTCCGTGGAGGGAGGGGCAGGGGCAGCTGGGAGAGAGGGCCTGCTGCCCCTCAGTGCAGGCTACTGGGCTCAGGGTTGGGGACAGCACGGAAGGGGCTGGCCACACGAGAGGTGAGGAGGAAGAGGAAATAGAGAACGTAGATGGGGCCACTCTTTGGGCAGGCCTGGAGCATGTGACCATGCTGGATGGAATCGGTGAGCTGAAGCCAGGCAGGTGGGCAGGGGACCACAGCGGGCAGAAGGAACTTTTCCTGAACCCCCGCCCTGCGCTAACTCACTAATACGGCTGTTGCAGGTCACCTGGAAGAGGGAGGAGGCATACAGCAGGGTCCCATCTCCCCCCAGGCAAATGATGAAGTCGATCTGATTGGAAATGTCATCGTAATCTGGCAAAGACAAGACAAGACAAAAGCCCTCATGCTGGCCTTGTCCAGAAGCTGCAGTGGGCCCCAGGAGGCCCCATGAGTCCGGGCTCTGAGCCTGGCAGAGAGCAGAGACCCACACCTTCTCGGAAAGTGCAAAACTTCTTCTTCACTGGTCCAAAGTTCTCGTCCCTCACGATCGCAGGGTCTTCCAGCACCTTCTTCTCCACATACACGATCATGTTGTTCTCCTGCAAACAAAACGTGCCCAAGGCCCTTCTGGGAGGGGCCCTGCCAGCTGGAACCCCGTGGTGAACCAAGGGGTGACAGCGACTGCTCCTCTGGGGAACACCCCGCTCACTGCCTGCACGTCCAGCCCGGGCGCTCACCTCCATGAGGTGCACGCACAGCTCCTTGAAGGGCTGCAGCAGCCTGTCGTCCCGGATCTTCTTGATGACCAGCACACTCTTCGGGGCCTTGTTCCACGTCAGCCTCTGGCTCGCCGGGTCCTGGATGTGCCTTTTCAGGAAGTGGGGATGGGGGGGTCACATGCAGTCTGGCCATGAGGGTGCAGGCAAACGCATAAGATGCGGAAAGGAGGAAAAAAAGCCCCCCTGAAGCAAAGCAGGTGCACGGGGGTGGAGGGTAGGGGGGGTGGCAGGGCTCGAGCCTGTGTCCAGCCTGAGCCCAACCCCGGCTGGCAGGTTTGGGCATGCCCCGAATTAGGAGCAGGGCTGAAACCACAGTCGGTCCAGATGGTGCCCTTGCCGCTTCGGCTACTAGAAGGCTTTGCCCCAGCTGTCCCTCGGGGTCTTGCAGGCATCTCGCTGGGAAAGCAGTCCCTCCAAGCTGATCCATCCTTGCGGTGCTGCCAGTTACCTCCTCAACTGTCCCAACTCACCAGCTCTGGGACTCCACCCTGCGGCACCCCGGGCCCAACCCATCACGTCTTCAGGTGGACTGCTTGTAACCTGCTGGGGCTGCGGCCCGCCTGACCTGCCCGCTGGGCAACCCTGACTCCTGCGCCCGCCTCCACAGCCCTGGCCAGCCTTAGGGCCACTGTGGACCTCTCAGCACCACACTCCCCCATGGGCTTGTTGGGAAACTGTTCCTAAAACCACAGTGGATGATAGGGAAGAGGTTTCCCGTTCCCATAAAAACCTGTTCACATACGCTGCCTTACTGGGGGACAGCAGCCGCCCTCCCCCGCCCCCCGCCCAACACGAAAGGCCCACAGTGGAGGGCAGGGCGCTGGCAGAAGGCTCGGTCCACTCACCCAGCCCAAGTGGGCTTGTCCCACTCCTCCGGAAGTCTCATTGCCGCCCGCCCTCGGTTGCAGCCACGGGGTCAGGAGCCACCTGCTCCAAGAGGGCCCCTAGGTGCCGGCAGCATGTGGCCACGCCTCAGGGGACCTAAGGTCCCCCTGACCCCCGAGGGGCACTCCTTGGTACAGCCCTCACTTGTGAGACTGTCTCCCACCAAGAGCCTGTGGTGGCGCCAGCCCATTCAAGGACCTACCTAGCAGTGACACGGCCTGGGGCCGCCTGGTTCAGCTGTCTCATTGTTTACACGGAACTCTTGCTTAATCTCGCCTTCAAAGGCTTCTGGCTTACCTTTCAGGGACGGGCAGAAGTCTCAGGTGGCCAACTCATATACAAGTCCACAGGGACCCTGCCCTACTGCGGCCCAGCCCACCACACCCAGACAGCCCTGGGCAGGTGCAGGCTGAAGGGCTCTCTTCCAGTACTTTCCAGAAAGTACGCCAACCCCACCCCCACCCCCCAACCCCTCTGCTTACCTGGTGGCCAGTTCTGGCCTGGAGAGCCCATATACTGTGGGAATGGCTCTTGG